TGTTCAAGCTGCACGCCACACAGAGCGCCGGCTCCACCAGCGAGAAGGTAACAATCGCCTGCTTCTGTTTCTGTGGAGCTTAGCGCGTCGTTTCGTGTCTCTGCGTGTTTAACGTAGTTTATTTTGTGTTCTCGTGAGCAGGATGAGGCGCTGGAGCGAGACGTGGACTTCTGGATTTCTCTGTGCTGTCAGTTTGACGTCAGCGATCAGCTGACCTCGCTCATCAACATCCTGAACTTCCTGCTGCAGCTGCCCGACGACAAAGAGGACGGTAAAACAAAAGTTTTACATCATCAATAACATAATCACGTTTTTGTATGGAGGACTGTAAGTGCCAAATCTAAAGAAAAAAGTGATAACAATCAATGAGTATTTTTAAAATGTGAAACGGACTCATTTCAGAATTATTTCCTTTGTTATGGTTCTTCTATCAGTTTACTTCATTTACATTTTAATAAATTAATATTAATGAAAATCCCTTATTATCACAATACGCTCCGAGTGTTTCATTTGGCAGATTTTTACTGTTAGAGATGAAACACCCAGGAGCCAATCATCTGTCTTTCATTAAAGTAATAGATTAAAAATACAACGTTTAAAATAATGAACATCAAGGTAAATTAAAATATTTGCTGCTTTTATTTCTGATTTAAATTTTAGACATTTATTTTAAATTTAAGAAGAGGATGATATAAATAAATAACTATAAATAAAGTAAAATACTTGAAGAAACAGGTAAATTATTAAGAAAGGAAACAGAAATGTTACCACAAAGAACAATGGCTGTGAAAACATGTATATAAAAGTAAATATGGTAAAAAAAATAAATTAAATTAAATAACAATTTGAATTTCTTTCATTTAAAATTTAGGAAATTGAATTTAAATTGAAACATAAATAAACTAATTTGTAGAAAGTACATGAGTTAATCCAAATTGAATAAATATTTGATATTTAGAATTAATGACTCTATATAGTCATTAATTCTGTATATAGAGTTTTGGCGTGTTTGGCCCTCCGTAGTCTGATGGAATTCTGGGTGTGGCTTGTGTAGCTCCAGTGAAACGGCCCGCCGCCCGGCGAGGAGCGAAGAAGGAGGAGGAAAAGGTGGAGGAGCTGATCTTCAGCGTGGACGCTCACGGCGGCAAAGAGCTGCGACACTTCAAGTTCCTCTCCGTGTCATTCGCGGCTCAGCTGCTCGGCTCGGCGAGCTTCATCGGGAAGGTGGGCGACTGAAGGTCAGGCGGTAAGGAGCGCGCTCAGAGTGCG